AAAGGATTTTGAGCAGTTGTTGTAGACAGCAGTTGAGCCAGACTTATGAATAACTTCTTGAATCTTCATTGAGAATAAAGAAATAAATCAACTGTGCTGGAAGGTAGAAACTGCATAACAAACTGGATATTCTTCGGCTTATGAAGCCTTGTTCGTCGAGCTGCTTGAGTCTTCGAACTTATTTGGAAAAAGGCCAAACGTGGTTCATGGGGTGACGGGAACTTTCCCTGCTTGTGTAGGCCGTTTTGTTGACCTGTCAAGATACTCATCATATCGGCCTTCATTTGTCAGCTTCTCAAGGTACTGCTTCCACTTCAGGCAGCCGTTGGTAGTGTGGCCTGGTCCTTGATGGAATGCGTAATATTTTGTATGATCCAGCTTGGTAAGATCGCCTTTCATGGGTGACGGCAGTTCGAACCAAGGTTCATTCTTGATCTTGCGAAGAATTTGGTCGATTGGAACTATGAACTTGGTGAATGTTTCAAGCGCTGAGTCTTCTCTGGTCGGGGAACATTCCATGTGCTTCTTTTCCGACTCGTTTTTGTTAGACTGCTTGGCTTCGTCCCATAGTGCATGCTTTTCTGCCAAAGCATACAAAGCTGCTAGGGTCAATTCTTCTCCCATGATCAATTTTTCGAATAAAGGATGTTCGGTGGAAAACCCATTTCTGAATGCTGTCGTTGCTATGTCTTCGTTGCAACCAACAATCTTGGCCTTCTCCACTTTGAACCTCTTGACATAGTCGCGAATTGTCTCTCAAGGGTCTTTTACGATGCTAAAGAGATGGTCGGATGTCCTTTTGATTGAGCGGTTAGACGAATACTCCTTAGTGAAAACAAAGGAAAGTTTGTTAAAACTCTGGATCGACTGCGGCGGTAGAGTGTGAAACCAGTCTTGCGCCTCGCCTTTTAAAGTTGTGGAAAATTTTTTGCACATAAGTGCATTGTTGTTCCTGTAGAGGATCATGGTACTGCGGTAATACTTGAGATGTCGATCCGGATCTTCGTCTCCCTTGTACGGAATGAAGTAAGGCATAGTGAACCCGCGAGGTGGATCTCATTCGTGAATGGTGACATGCTTATGTTGGTCATGTCTCGTCGAAGCGCATCGTCAACAGCCTCGTTTCGTTGGAAATTATGCAGTCGTTCAATTAGAAGCCTATCAACTTCTTCTTGAATTTGCCTTTGCTAGGGCAATGGAATTTTCGACTGCTCCCAGTCATAACCTATGGGTTTGGGCCGCTCTTCCCTATGCTCGACTCTTCCATGTCGCAGCTGCGGTGCATATGGCATGTATATGGCAAGCAAACGGGTCATTCATAGGCTTCCGATTGAACTTGAGTCAGATTAAGTGACTACTTCTCTCCGTTTGCCGTGCTGCCTACTCCAATGTGAGGTGGATAATGCTCCTTACAAGCCTAGTTGTGAATGAACATTTCACCTGGAAGGTTGTCCATGTTGATAATCGGAGTGTGACCTCAACCATGAACGTATGCTCGCCCGTGGGCTTGATTGGGAATGCACGCTCCTCCGCATGCTAAGACGAGAGTATACGCTATCCCAAGGACCTAACCGGGAGCGTAAACTACCAGAATGTTCGGATTGTGGCTGGTTGATAGGCTGCTTGCCGGGACGCTGGTGGAGAGGTTCATATGCCCTTGTCCTACTTAGGGACACCTCGTCTAGGGCACGTTGGATCTCGATGCATTTCAAGAGTTGATACACCAAGGTTGTCTGTTGTGCAAGGGCGCTCGCTAACTCTATGACTTGTCGAGACAAGTTTTGTTCGCCATTTGGATTGGAAGAGCTTGGAAGGAATGTGCCTCTTTGAGCAATGGAAGTATGGTAGACTCTAGGTGCAAGATTTGAATTGGGAAATGTCAAATCCGCGGAGAAATATGGTAAAAATGCCATTGGCTTAATGGTTGCTTCAGATAGTTGAGATATTCTCGGGCCAACTTAAGCTGCTTGGGAAACCATGGGAGGCAGGGCTGCGAGAGCAGTCAGGGCTACAGAAGCAGGCTGGATTACGATAGCAGGCTGGGTCGCGGGAGCAGGCAGGGCTGCAGAAGCAGGTTAGATTATGGAAGCAGGCTGGGTCACGGGAGCAGGCTGCTCAATGCGTGGTGCATGCGAATGCGAGGCTTGGGCTCGAATTGGAAACGCATTGGGCTCACGTTGGGCATGGAGTGACATGGTTCGGGTCGTGGCTTTGGTGGCGTGGGCCTTGGATATCACGGCTTGGGCCGTAGTGGTGGAGCCATGGACCTCGCCGTGGGTGATTGCCATGGTGGTCACCTCGGTGGTTGCCATGGTGGAGCCTTATGGTGGTGGTGCCGCTCCCCCTAAGATCACGTTTAGTCTCGTGGATCGCCATGGTCCCATTTCTTGAATATTGGAATTTTCACTTGTGGAATTTTCTAAATTTCTAGCCATTGTATTTCTCTTTTATGTTTTATCAAAGAATCTTGGCAAATAAAAATTTCTAATAATAAGAACGTACGAAAAATACAGGTGGACTAGAAAATAGAGAAAATAGAGAAAAAAACCTTTTTTGCGCGAGAGTCTTCTACGAGTGTGAATCTCAACTCTCAATGAAAGCACCAATTTGTGGATGCAAATTTCCACCTTCTTCTTCTTGGAAAAAATTGTACCTACAAAACAATTAACACCTTAGGTCAAGGCCAAGAGCCTCACGCGCCCACGATGAATGGGGGGGCTTTGGCCGAAGAACCTCTGATGCCAAAGTTAGAATTTAGAGAGAAAAATATTTGGAGAGTTTTTTGGGATTTTTGCCAAAAGTGTTGGAATGAGTGTTTGGTGAAAATAGGAGCCTATTTATAGGGCTAGGAGTGGCCGGTTTTTCAAGGGATTTTGTGGTTATGGTTTTGGCTTAATTAGCCAATTTAATGAAAGAAGTAAATGGGAGGTTACAAAATTATTTATTTGTATAAATGGGGCAATAAAATGGAGAAAGGTGAGAAAGGTGAGGATGAAAAGGAAGTGCATGGCCCTTTAACAATTTTTAGGTTAAATTGTATAATTTAATAGGTAATTAATGGATTAATTGGGTAATTAATCTATTAATTTACCAATTACTATTATTTTGGAGGTTACTTTGCAAAAAAGGGAATTTGATGAGATGAATATTGAATTGTTATCTCTTTGGAGCATTTTTGAGCTGCTCGCGTGTAGAAATCCCGGTGTGCCTCAAGGGTAGTTTGGTCCTCTTCTACTAAAAAATTCACGTGTCGCCTTATGATTATTTTTGGCTCCACAATTCAAGTTTATTTTCAAGGTATTTTCTATCCATGTTCTTAATAATAATTTGTTTTATGATTATTCATAACTAGTTTCATTTGTTAGGGCGAGGCCATGAGCCTTAGCAAGAATATGTAGTTTCTTTTCAATTTGCTTATGATATTATGCATGCAAGATTTGAATTATTAATCACTTGACTTTAAACTATCTAATTGTCTTGATGATTAGCCACCATTAGGATATTTAGAAAAGTAATTTGATGCAATTTTGGCACAAGGCTGTCCCTGAAATTGACGCTGGCTTCTTGTGGTTAATATGTGTAACTTCTTAGGATGGACAACACGTCTTAAGGGTTATATGGTTTTTCAAAAGGATTTCACAAAACTTAATGAGTCTTGCATGTTCACATTCGATTTGGACGCCACGGACGGGTTGCATGTTAGATATATGTTTTATGTTGGAGGTTCCAAGTAGGGCATATTTTAGGAAAACCTAACTTCAAAATATGCATGTGTAATTCATAAGTAATTGAAAGAATTACGTAGGATTGTTAAGGTGACGGTGGAACCCTAGTGCTCAAATTTATCTTCAAAACTTTTTTTTTTCTTTACTTTCCCAATTTATTTAATTGTTTTTAATTAAATTCGTTTTTAATAATTTAGGTCATTAAATCACCTTTTTCTAAACTTTGTTTTCAAATAATTAATTAAGATTTGGTATTTACATAAATTATTCATTCAATTCATGCGGAGAACGACCTTGCTTGAGCTACTATACTACGATAACCTTGTACTCTTGCAAGTATTTTTAAATGTTTTTATTCCTACCAACCGAGGGCCAAAGGGTCATAGGGCCAAACATAATTTATTATTGAAATTTAAAAACTACAACAACTTAAATATTTAAAATAAATTGTGAAAACACTTACTTCGTTGTAGTAATTGGAGCCACTTTCATGTCTACTTGCGGCTACTAATAGTGCTTGATGCCATTTGTTCAAACTTGGATGAAGATGTTTCTTCCATTTTGAAGAACAATTCTCTTGGAAGATGTTTCTTCCAACTTGGATGAAGATGTCTCCTCCCCATATTGCCAATTGATTTTACGGTGGAACCTCAACTTTCTTCAATATACATATAGCCATCAAAACTTAATCCTACTTGTAAACATAAAAGCTATGTCCGAAAATTCACACACATATTTATATATTTGGTTACAATAAAAATTAGTTTTTATTTATTAATTTATTATATCTTTGAATCTAATGTATGCAGATTGTGTCCTATATATTTACAGTATGGTGATGGTGTGGAGCATGAGTCCGGTGATCTCCTCAGGGATATCTGAAATCCACGATGAACAGAGATCATAATGTTCCTGTATGAGCTAATGAGAGCAGTGTGAGAAGGAGAATCCTCAAAGATTTCCATCTCCTCCTACAATTAGGATATAATTAATTACCTGCCGGAGTTGTATTTGTATTGTTATAAACCAAAGTTTTTTTTTTCTTTTTGAACAAATCTTATAAACCAAGTTACCGTGTATCTTATTAAGCTCTAGGGCTTATGTAAACTGGGCTCATGAAAGTTCCCATAATTTTATTTAATTCTCTAAATTCGGTATTATTCGTCTAGGTCTTTGATGTGCTCTCTCTCTAAACACATAAACCGTCCCACCATAATTTCCCAGCCTATCCCTAAAAATAAAATAAAGTAGAACAAAAGAGACTGAGCAAATTGGATACAAAACGTTACTTGTATATGTCATTGATTTCGTATATCATCAATCGATGACATGCATTACACATGTACTTGAATTTGTTCACGAAATTAATTAAAGAGCACTCAAATCATGAGATTATAACTGAGTACAGATACAATATTCCACCCAGCTAGCACTCGTGATTAACTTTATTTTTGCATGCCTCTCGCTAGTGAAGTTTTATTCGATTCATTCATAGGAATACGATCGAGGGAAGTGCTTCAAGCATGTTAAGCACATGCATTAGAACATAATTAGATAATTAGATAATTAATTAAGCACACTGCATATGCATGGGCATGCAGAAGCCTAATTAATTAATGAACTAGTTGTGAGGTTGTGCATCAACAGCCTGACCAGCATGATTGCAGCACCTTAGGCACTCTCTTCCATTGTAACTCCATCTGCAACAACCATAGTAGCAACGCCCTCCACGGCCTCCTCCTCCATTTCCGCCACGACCAGGGTTACCGCCATATCCCCCACGACTTGGGTTGCCACCATACCCACCTCGCCCAGGATCTCCTTGGTTCCCGCCACCATACTTGGCGTCACCTGCACCATTGAGATTTGTAGTAGTCTCCGCAGCTGAAAGTCATATAAGGAACATACGTTTAAATGAGGTGACAATATTTCATTTATTCAAATCATTGTAATTTTAGAACCTAATTTAATTTTAAGTAGCATGTACTTGTACTAATATCTATTTGGTGAATAAAGTAAAGTACACTAGTATTATGTTGTGGAAAGTACAACAAATTAAGCTCACAAATTGTATTTATAACTTTGCTTAGCAACTTTGGTGACACTAGGTAGCTAGCAATATATAATTTCTACAAAAATTAGAAGGGAAAAGTTAAGCTCACCATTTGCGGCCACTTCAGAGGAAATGAGAAGGACAATGGCAAGCAAAAGACCAAAGTAAATGAAAGTCTTGGAAACCATTTTTGTTCAACTGAAAGGAGAGTAGAATACTTGGGAATTAAGAAGCATTCTTGCTTCTATTTATAGAGAAAAATAGAGGGCAGTGTACAATAAATCTACAAGTTAATCCCATAGGCCACACCACCGTACACGTACAGTGTAGACTGTGTAGTTGGAGGTTGAGGAGTTGCCTTCCCAAGTTTATTAAATTTAAAACACGTATATCTTTTCTTAATTACTGATCAGTGTTCTCATTGCTTCTGATTTTCAGTTTATTTTTCTGATTAATAACAGTGATGAGTACAAGCTGTCTTAACGTTACGAAGCAATTTTGCTAGCTATTAGAAAGATCGAGAAAGTGCGCCAGGATTAATTAGTCTAATTCATTAACTAATCGATTTGTTAAAATGTGAGCGTCCAATGCAACACTAATCGACGGTGGATGGATATGCACTGATTTTTTAAAGACTAGAAAAGACCATATTTGATATGGGAACTTTTGAAATAATTTGTAAATTAGAATCAAGATAAATGATATGTAATTAGGATCAAGATAGATGAATATCGAAGCCATGAATAACGTAAATTGAAAAAGATTGTAATATTGACTCTGGCGGGGGGTTCCATGTTATACACATGCGTTGGACATATGTCAGTGAGAGTCAGAAAGATCATGACAAATTAAGTTGCATGGGGACTACTCTATAAAAATAGTCGTGGGCATACATGCATGCCTGCGTGTCTATCTTCAATGAATAGGTAGCATAGAGGGAGCCTGCAAATTGCAATTTAGACCACTCACTCATCTCATACAGCTTCGACCGACATATAATTAGTAAAAATTGTCTTGAATATATTTTCTAGTTTCATTGAAAGCCCTTTTTGGTAATACTCTCTTGTTGTTTTAAATACAGAAGATATTCAGAAATCTGAATTGAAAATTCGAATAAACGAAAAAGTACTCTTAATCAACTGAACTAAAACGATGCATGCAAAACATTAACCTTTTTATTTTTCGTTCTTTTTCATTGCGAGTGATATTATGGTTCATATTTTGTCTTGAGTGGAAGTGGGAGAAAGAATAACACAGCCACACAGAGAGAAGTGCAAAATCAGTGTGTTTTGTCACCGAAAGGTTATTTTCTGCTCAGTTTGACAACGCGTCCTCTGTGGTCAATTTATTCTGAATTTGACTTTTCAGACTTGTCTAGGGCCAATTGGATTTGAATGGTTCATTTTACTTTAACAAATATTAATATAATATGTTTGTGACTTTCAAATGTCATCAAAGTGAACCCAAGTTATTTGACTTAAAAGTAATCAACTACTATGAACTATGAAGGCATCCGAAGTGGAAGATACTTGGCACTTATTCTTAAAAAAATAAAATAATAATAAATAAATAATTAGATTTAAGAAAAGTACCAAGCCATTCATAGAGTCAAGTATACACTACATTTTTCTAAATTACAGAAACGATGATTCAAACGTAAGTACAAGTCTACAAGCCAAACAATTTAGCAATCAGCGTTACAAATTGTCGATTGATTAGAATTCAACTGCAATATTAAAGAAGAATCCAAAGCAATTGACCACTTATGACGTCGGTTGGTCTATCTTCATTTTATTTCCTTTAGTTGGCTGGTAAAGCTGATTAACGTTTGTTTTCAGAAACAAAGTCCATAAAACCTATGGATTAGAGAAACAAGGGGCCAAAAACAAAATAGTGCCTCATGCATGTGTTTATAAATAACTAACATTTCCACCGCTTATTTAATTTGCAACCAACATACAAATCAATCCTAATTTCCTTGTGATCAATTCCCAAGCTAGCATAAGAGAAGATGAGTGTAGAAGTGTTGGATGGTGCCACCATTGTCAACTTTGTGGAAGATGAAGAAGCATTCAGCTTCTCAATTCGCGACCGTTTTGCTCATCTCGACACCAACCACGATGGTCTGCTTTCTTATGCAGAGATGCTGAAGGAGTTTCAGTCTCTGAGGGTCTTTGAGACCCACTATGGCATTGATGTGAAGCCAGACCCCGAAGAGATTGCTCATGTCTACGACTCGCTGTTCGTGCAGTTTGATCATGACTCGAACGGGGCGGTTGATTTAGAGGAGTTCAAGGCTGAAACCAAGCGGATGATGCTTGCTATGGCCAATGGGATGGGGTTCTTGCCAGTTCAAATGCTGCTGGAAGAAGATAGCTTCCTGAAGAAAGCAGTGGAAAAGGAGTACTCCAGTACCAAAGTTTAAGCAGCTGATTAATTAAGCACTTTTAATAGATTGTACTTTTCCATTTAATTACGAAGAGCCTTCTGCATTGTTGATTTTTATGTTCAAGTTCCATAAAAAATAAATGAGGATGAAGAGATCGAAGATAGCTAAAGTAAATGTTTGTAAAATTCAATTACAATTTTATATAAGTTTCTACTGAATTTATACAAATATTTCATACCGAAATCTCTCGTTCTATTTTTACTTTGTACTCCTAATCATGAGTAAGATTGCTACAAATGGTTACAAAAATAAACACATCTCGGGAGCTGGAACGAAGGAGAGGATGTTTTCACCGAACAACTCAAACAATGAAACCAGGAGATGCCCAGAATTCAAGTCATCCTTCCAAACATGAGTGAGGAGAGCTGATTTCTTTAGAGACAGATCAACAGGCTTGCCCATTCTACTTGTTATGTGTGGAATGCTCTCATTCGGCATCTTCTGAGAAGACGACGAGGGGCCTGCATCAGTATCCCCTGCTGGAGCTGGAGCTGGAGCTGCTGTGTCTACTTCCATGTGAGATGGTGAAGAAGTAGTTGGTGACAAATCCGTTGGCCCATCAGTTGTAATTTTCTTCAGGGGTGGTTGCTCTTCCATGTGCTCCGCACTTTGCTTGCGCTTATCTTGATTATGTAAATAAGAATCAGAGTTAAGACTTAATCTAACTAATAAACCTTGAAAACTAAGGGTTTCTTCTCCTTCCTGGACAAGAAACCCTATTCATCAGCTTTCCAATCACACACATCCAAGGGGGTGCTTCCTTCATTATGCCCAAAGTCTACACATAAGAGCAGAATCCTATACCTGAAAAGGATAGGACGGGGCTATGAAAACGGAAACTCTTTCTTGCACCATTGCATGGCTGATTTGTTACAACCGGACAACATAAAATAGGCTTGTAGCTTAAAGGTACTCAACCCATAGACGTGATAGTGCTTATGCTTCTTGTATACCCGTTTGAGTAGTGGAATCTATTATATTGCAAGAAACTTACAAACCATTCTAGCAATTTAGGGTCACGAGTTCTTATTGTGTGCAAGAGATAGAGGAGAAACACATGGGAGAAAAAGAGGATATGAAGAGTGGAGGAAGGATGGTGGAAAGATGTAGAAGAAAGGTACAAGGAAAATTTTAAAACCAAAAACCCATTTATGCTGGTTCTATGCTTGTATAATACCATTAGGAAATAAGATGCATTCTAAACCAAGCAATATTAGTAGTGTAACTCATTTGAAGTGGTTGAAGTGCCATCATTTAAGAAAACATAAGCCGTTTAATGTCTTACTTGGCAGAGTAATATGGAGTCTCCCCTTGGTGTTCCAGTAAGATTGCGGCGCTGGAGATGGCAAAAGTGGGAACATCTTGAGCCTGTCATATATGCATTGACCTGCTGCATTCTGGAAAAGCGCAAGCTCTCATTAGGAAGCCTTCCTTAAGATTTTCCAACAGTATATATAGGCATGAAAATAGACTCACCAACAAGGCTCCATACACACGCCATGCTTCATGCCGCTTCATCTCATTCTTTTGCTTGTCAAGAAGAAGCTCTGGTTCAAGAAGTCGCAGATATGACTCCAGATTTGGCAGTACAAGAAGGCGAACCTGCAGTGAAAAATAATCACCCAACAGTTAAAAACCCTTACTTCGTGTTCAAAAAAAATATAAATAAATAAAGATTCACATTCCCAGAAAACCAAATCCTTGAAGATGAGTAAAACATGGAAGTAGATTTCTAATGAAAAAAAGATTGACAAATTACTATAGCCTAGAAAATCGAGGTAAATGAATTTTTAGAATAAGAGTTCATATGTTATACGGAGTAAAGGTATTGCAACATCTTCATTTTTCTAGAAACAAGTCATTAGCAAAGGAGAAATTCTTGGAAAAGGTATTGCAAATATCTTCCATTCCACCATATTGAACTTCTAGGACTCAGAATAAAGAGACTAAGAAGATAATGCAGTTGCAGGCAGTGCATAAACTTGCAGGCAAACAGGCCTGGAGCCACCTAGCTTTATTTACCAGTACATAATTCTCTATGAAAATAGACAACAAGAATATGCTAACAGAAACTTATGGGAAGAACACAAGAGATATTACTTCAAGTTGAATTTATATTCCAAAACATTTACTGCTTTTATATAGACTGTCTACTGAACTGATTTTCTTAGTTGCAAGAAGCATGAGGTATTACCACATTGGGCCCCAGAGCAGCTAAACCTTGAATTGCACCATAGTGTTGAGTCAATGTCCGCTTTGGGTCCAAAAATGCATTGACCAAAGTTTTCGTAAGACGCGACTGGAGAGTGTTATATACATGCCCAAACCTGCAACAAATTCAGATATTGAAACTCATAGGTAAGATGACAAATTCATACCAAAATATACGCATGGAATTTGAAAAGAAAATACAAAGCTTCCATGGTAAGGAGATATTTTTAAAACAACAATCATGCTAGGCAGATTGACTCTGCTAGTCCAGTTTCACTTAACTAATGCACAATAAAAACCTACTTTTAGTTGCTTAATACACAAGGATCACAAAAGTGCGAAAATAGGTCTGGATGTGACCAAGGTCAAGTCACAAGAGAAAAGTAGGAGGTGATATCTCAAGATGAGATGTCAGAGAAAGAACAAGAAAAGGGAAGCATGCCAGCTGAAAGATAAGCATGAAGGTAAAAGGAATTTTAACCAAAAATAACAAGCCTAACCTTTTGCAGATTGAAGCAACCAGTGTTGCAGTGAAGTCTCTAAGTTCCCAATGATTGTCAGCAA